AAAATGAGCAAAAGAAAAAAAGAATAAAATTAATAAAGAAACTAGGAAAACAATGTTAAGATTTGTTATAAAAAGGAGAAAACCCTTTTATTACAGACTTTAAGTAGTCAGACAAGTAACCTACTTTTGTTTAAAGTAGTGTGACAGGTTGCACTTAGGTGCCCTTTGAATGGCCGAGTGATGCTAGACTTAGTTGTTAAGTAATTCTATATAATTGCAATAAGTAATTTCAAAAGTTTTAATAAAGTACTAGCATGACTGCTTAAGTTAAAAAATATATATATATAGCAACAATAGTGTAATTTAGGAATATTTTATTTATTTATTTATTTTTTTAGTATTAAGGTAACCTCTTTGGTCTTTTGACTTTTATTAATCACTTATTAGTATTGTGGTTTAATAAACTACTACAAGAGAAAGTACAATTGGCTACATGTATAACTTTTCTATATTACCTATTTAAGGAGTCTGTTCGAAGGTTTCTCACCAATTGCTATACCTAATACCTCTGCTTAAGTGTTTTACTTTAAACTTTCTAAATCTGTAATCTGGGTTAACTCACTAAATCATATCTAGATGCTCAGATCATTGTTTCAATCTTAGGACTAATTTATCCTTAAGACAAACTCCCAGAGCCTTCTGTATTCATTTTTACAGCTGACCTAGGTATTACTATAACAGAACTAACATTTGCAGTCAGGGCTAACTATTAAATTGCTATGCCTTTGTAGAGTTCACTTAGACTTCAGCATCTACTTTATAGCATAACTTCAGTACTTTAGTATATACCTGTCTTTTCACCTGTTTTTTTACCAAACTTCTAATCCAAATAGACTATATAAAACTATAATCAGTTCATTAATATATTAGATCGGCCTAATATTCTTTTTCTTTAGTTCATTCTGATGGTTTGATTAGTAGTACCTCTAAGACTTTCAACTTAGAGGTTCTTGCCTGTCTGGCTACTATAACTGGATACTATAATCTTGGTATCTATATTTCCAAGCTAGACTTTACAATAGGGCCATCAAAGATCCAGCTACCTCTTTACTTAGGTCTTCTCAAATAGACTTCTTGTTACCTAATTTTAATGGATTTACATAGCCACAAGAACTTATTTAGTGTTTGCACTACCTGATTTGTTAGTTTGCATTCCTTTGTATAATGCTATACTTACACAGATGTTCCATGACCTGCTAGTCATGCTGATATGACTGCCATTACAGGTATCCTAACTCAATTATTAGTAACAGTTGCCATAATATAAATATTATATAGATGATTATTCAAATTTTTACTATTGATAGAATTTGAACACTTAACCTATCACTTGGAAGATTAATAACCTGACCACTTCACTAGGTTGCCACATCTCCAGAATATTTTATTTATACATTTATATCTAATTGATATATTTATATATATTTTTTTTTTAATATTAAAATGAGTAATTGCAACCTAAGAGTTTATTGATAATCAGTTAACATATAACTATTGTATACAACAGCTACAGAGGCAATTATAGAAAGAATGTACAACTAGGTACTTGTACAACTTTAGTTATTGTCTATTTTAAGTAGTTCGCCTGAAAGTTTTATACTAATTGCTATATCTAGAATCTGTCTATAGGTTCTCTATTTAAATACTCTAGTTTTCATATTTATTCCTACCCTATCAACTGCAGAATTACTGCAAATATACCATGGTTACTAAGTTATGTTTAACTTTATACTAAGCCTACTGAAGCCTTCTGTATTTTATACTTACAGCTGACCTGATACTGCTTTGGCCTAGATCATCACTTACAGTTAAGACTAATTATTAAACTGTTATACTCTTGTAAAGTTTACTAGAATCCTAATACCTTCTTTCTCTAACATCTTCCCTTTACTCTGAACCTATAAGATTTCTCAAACTACTAATTCAAATGACCTGGTATAATATTCTAAGATCCTTTTCCTTCAGTAATTTTTGACAGCTAGTTGGTATATGCTCCTTTACATATATTATTATCTGTTCTATCATAGTTATTCTTTCTGAGACTTTCAATAGTTCATTAATACTATCGAAAGTCCATGCTATCTCTTTATTCAAAATTTTCAAATGAATTTCTGTACTCTAGTTTCTTAGAGTTATGTGTCTGGTAATCTTATTATGGGTTTGCACCAAAGTTTTATGCTACACTGGTTATTAATATTCCTCTATGTACATATAATATTACACTTCGTATAGATGCTCTGAGCTTTTATTCAAAATGGTGCACCTAAGATTACAGATTATCTTCTTCTATATATCTATATATTATTATTTTTTCTACTTAATATTATATAATAAAAAAGAAGATGTAGTAACTTAGTGAAATGAATAGGTTGTCAACTTCCAAGTGATAGGTTTAGAGTTCAAATTCTAGTAATAGTGAAAATTTGCAATTTTTTTTGTGTTATGGCTAACTGTCTTTCATGATTGGTTGAGATAAGATACCTGTAATCTGTGTTATACAAACATGACTAGAAGATCTAGGCATTTGTACAATATTATATAAGAGAACACAAATCAGTACCGGGTAGTGTGAACTCAAGATAAGTTCTTAGATTATGTAAATTACAAAAATCAGATAGGAAGACAGAAGCCTACTTAGAAGACCTGAGTAAAGAGATAACCTGAACTTTTGATAATGCTACTGTAAAGACTAGATTTATAAAATGAATCTAAAACTTGTGAAACTAGACAAATATACTGGTCTTTGAGGAGGGACTAAATGAACCAACCAGGTCACTGGAATTTTTGTATTTTGAAAGAAAAAAATACATGTCTCAAATATATAAACCAGAGGTATGATCTTGTTCTACTTTTCTGAACTATCTAGAATGGCAGCTTAGTGAAACTTGAATTAAATATCAAAGTAGTAAGAATATGTTGTGAAGTCAGTATCAGGATTGGAATGAACTTTACAAAGGCATATTAGTTTAATGATATGTTCTGACTGCCAATGTTGGTCTTAGCCATAGTGATACCAAGTCAGCTATAAGAATAGGATATAGAAGATTTTGAAAGATTTAATACAAGATCAAAGGTTCTTTATATAAGTGACTACTTTAAAAACTTAGTGGTCATGATATATTTTTACTGGCATTGGTCAGAATCATTAGTAAGCAGAGGTAGGTGGGTGAATACAGAAACAAAGTGGTTAAATAAGGAATCTACAAGTGGGTTCCAGATATGATAGCTAGTATAGAACCTTTGAACAGACTACTTAAATTAGACAATGATTAAAATTGTACAAATGGCTAGTTGTATACTTTTTCTATAGTTGCCTTCTGTGATTATAATGCAATTATTAGCTAAATATACTATCAATAAAATCCTAGGTTGCAAGTACTCATCTTAATGTTTAAAAAAAATAATTTGATTTAAAAAAATTTTAAATTTTAATCAATAAAAAAAAAACTTAATTTATAAAAATTTTACTATATTAATTAATTTTAAACTTTTAAATAAAAATGTTATTCTAAACAAAAATACTCTTAGTTTCATAGAATGAAAAAATCAATTGTCTTAATAAAATTTTAAATAAATAACTAATAATTTTGAATGTTCAATTATAAGATTTTAAATCAAATCAAATATTTGTTAAATTTGATTATATTTAAATTTGATTTAATTTGAAAATTTCAGATTTGAATTTGATTTGAACTCAAATATTTGATCAAATCAAATCAAATCAAATTATGGAACCCTAGTTGTAATTAATCATAAGAACAAAAAAATATAATAATGCAATTTGTTATTAAATTTAAACCCTAATCTGAGATTTGGTATATGATTACTATAATTACTTTATTTAGTAATATAAACAATTAATAATGTAAATTAATATATTTAGAGTAACATCTAAGTTATTTTTCCAAGATAATTATTCGAATAATGTAGCCTTGAACTTTCTTGACTAGTTGGGCCAGTTGTCTTTTATTACTTAACTTTGTGTACTATATTTCACTGCATAAACTACTCTGATGACATAACCTATAATAAATGGTAATTTATATAATGAAATACAGTATCGGTATATAATCTTGATACGGTATGAACAATCTAACTTTAATAATTAATAGGTTTATTTTGGTTTATAAACATTAGTTTGAATTTATTATGCATAGACAATCATTGGTAAAAATTCATCACTGGTGAATTTTAAATAAATTCTAATTAAATTTGTTATAAAAATATTTAATAGTATTGAAGTTTTCTCTTGAAATTTATTAAACGCCTTTTTAGAACTTTTGAAATCTAAACAAATAAAGCTACGATTAGGATAAACTATGTCGATTAACTATATCTTTTAACGCTTCGAATAACTGGATGATAAACGGTACATTTCTGATCTTTAAAGTTGATTATCGTTATCGTCATTGTCAACATTTAATTATCCGGCATGGAATTTACTCTAACGTGTGCATAACGATAATTAAACTTCAGTTTTCACCTTATTTCGGCTTTAGTGACTAAATCAGCTTGTAAAAATGTAATTCTCCATCATAAATAATTTAATTATATCGAATTCTTCAAAATTCAGTAATTAGAGGATTCGAATCTCTTAGTAAGGTAGAAAATTGAAACAAGGTTCGTTATAACAAAGGTTCATTATAATAAAATTCCAATGTTTTAGAGTGAGGAGACAAGAGAATTCGAAACTAGATATTTAATGTGCGGATTAAAAACAAAATATGGGTTTCTATTTGGCCCCCTAAAATCCACTTGTGCTTGTTAACTGTTAACGTTTAATGTTAAAAAAATCCAAATTAAATACTATATCGATATACAATGTTTTATATTGCAAATATATATAGTATTAGAAGTTTTTTTAAATATTTTAAAACCAAAATGTGAAGAAAGAATTACTATGATTTTATTTAGTACTAAAGAAAATGCAATCATTATAGCCCCACTTTAGATTTGCGCCCTGAACTATACAACTAATAAAAAATTCAATCTTCAGAACGTTAAGTAATTTTTTCCGATTTCTTGGGTTTTGAGATTACAACTTTAGTTTCATTTCTCAATTCATATAATTGTCCAAGTTGTTGATCACTAAACTTTTCTAAATCCTCTAATTCAATCTTTTTTCCAAACTTAATTTCTTCGGTTGATTCAAGTTTACTTTGTTGTTTTATTTCTTCCAAATATGATTGCCATTCACTAAGAAATCCCACAATATGAATAGGATTTGTTATATTTTGGTGTCGTCTAAATTCGGATTTTACATAGTCATCTCCAAGTAAACGAAGAGAAGGTGGAAGTTTCCGATGTGCTCTTAGAAGTTGTCGATAAAGTGTTAATGGTGGAAGTAGGTTTTTAGATACCATTTTTGATGTTTTACATAGACTGCGGAAATAACTCTAATTTTATCTGTAATCACATGAATTGATCGAAAAGTTATCTTTATGTTTAAATAATTTTTTGGTGCCAATCGTTAAAAGATTATCTATCGCTAGGTATGTACTATGTATGTAGTAACTAAACCTCAAACCGAAAGCATCACATTACACAACATACTGTATTTATTTGGACTATGCCGGCGGGTAATTGGGCCGGTGGTTATTTTTTATTATGATCGAGAAGCGAGTTGGCCAGAACGACAATGAAATATTGCAAAAGTAGAAATTGAGATTGTACTGATAGTTTCTCGCCTGTCGATGCAAGCCGGCTGTGAATGAAAAAGAATGAAAAAATGATTTCTTAGGGAAGTACTTATCATGGCCAATCAAATCTCAAAAATTGAATTTTGATTAGCTATTTTGCACATGTTGAAATAAAATGGGAAGCATTCACAGTCCCTCTTTTGATCATGTGCCCATTTAATGATATCACGAAAATAAATTCGATAAATTTAATTTATTATTCTATAAACATATAGAATAAAGAAAATTCCAGTCGAATTTGGTTTACGTAATATCGCTAGTGCTATTTTAGATCTAGAAATAGCTGGACACTACTCAAAACCCTAAAGAAATCTTTATGGTCGATAAAATGAATCTGATTAACTAAAAAAAATCGTGTTTAATCATTTCAGTCAAAAAAAAATCTGATCTTAACAACCATCATTTTTTCTTTTATCATAAAGTTACTCTTGGCAAAATTGTTACAAGAATCATTTCAATTAATTTCGATTAATCGAAATAATCTCGATTTCTAACGAATTATATCGAGGAAGCCGCTTGAGAACAGCCTTAATCACCGTAATTTCAGGAAGACAGACTCAACCATTATCATGGTTACCAGTGATTCACAATAAAGTACGTAGCAATTAATCTTAACAGTTAACTGTTAAGCTCACGCGTAATCAAATAAAATTGGCCAATAAATTTATTCTCATTTGACAACCAATCACGTGGCTATCAAAATTTTAAAAATGCATAGCGGTAGTTCTGATCTGGACATAAATCTGCGAACACGCTTTTTTAAGAACATAAAAATAAAAGTTGGTTTTTATTTATTTTTTTTCTTTAAATTATTCTCGATAAACCAGACTAATTAAAAACTTAAGATGTAAATCGCGGTTAAAGGGTATAAAAATAACAAATTTAATAGTAGAAACTGTCGGAAGTTAATGTAATTTTTCTATAGGGTTGGAATGTAGCTAGTTTACAATTAAAAGTTTTTTTTATGCCAAGTAAGCCTTCATTTTTCTAACAAATATTATTATTCCGGTTCTAATAGTAGTAGAATTATTAAAATTGGTTTAGTAGGTCGCGAGTTATTGGCATTTTCTCCTTCATAACTAAATGATTTTTTACATTGTCAGAAACTTCGGTATTCCAGCATTATATGAAAGTAATAGTTAAAATTTATACCCTTCAACTACGATCTACCACTTAAAATTTGATACCAGAATTGAATCTTAAAAATTCTATTAATAGTCTAACGAATTCGGTTTATCAGAATTTAATATATTTATTTCATATTTACCTCCAAATGTACTTTTTTCAAATCAACAGTTAAATGTATAGTGACTTTGAAGAAGATCCGATAGATACACCTAATTGGCTGGATTTTCTTCCACATCATCCAATATTTCATTCAAATGAAGTAGAACAGTTGGAAAATCATTGTAAGCATCTTTTTTTTTTCTTTAGTAGCACTTATGATCTCAAAATTCTGATAAATTTGTAATATATTATTTAAAGCATCGAAATCATACGAAAATACACAAGCAAAACAATCATGTTTAACTGCTTCAATTAGTAAAAACCTTATAGTGGCTGTAGGTTCTGAGATAAGAGTCTTGAATTTAATGGAATTCAAGTATACTTGGCGTCAGGCTGCCGAGCGTGGTGAATTAGGTCTTGATGATCTTGACGATGGAGAATATTTACCTGAATGGATGAATGATATTAAATATGTAACTCTCGATACGCCTTCTATAACTTATAATATAAGATCAATTACTGTCAATTTTAAAGAAAAAGGAACTTTAATTGCTGTCGTTGGTGATTATGAAGTATCTGTGGTAGTCATGCCGAAATCTACTTCTTCTACTTCAACATGTGAGAGAATTCGTCGCAAGAAAGTCTTTTCTCTTTATTATATGTTCTTTTCCAATTATGTTTTAATTTATTTACATTATATGTTTGTATTTCTTTTATAGAGATTACAAAATAGGCACTTATTATCATGTTATCGGATCAAGTCCTATAGCAAAAGTTTTATGGCACCCTATGAGTGAGTCCGGTTCCCATCTGGTAGTTTTAACTGAGGATATGAAATTAAGGTATCAATTGGACTTGTAGTTCCTATTATTATTATTTATTATTATTATTATTATTATATTATTATTTGGTAATATTAGGTGGTTAAAATATATTTATTTCTAGAATGTACAACATTCTTGAGGACGTCAATGAACCAGAACAAGAATTTTGTTTCTCTCCGACTCCACAAAGTGAAATCGTGTCATTTAGTACTGAATCCACCAAAGCAGTATCATTTTGCTTTGGGCAAGGCCAGGAAGGATGGGGTGGTTTTATAGTTTATGTTGTAACCGATAACGGTGATGTATATTCGATGTGTCCTATTGTCCCAAACAAATGGTAGGTCATATCTTTCAAAGTTAATATATTTTATTATTATCGACTTATAGTTATTAAATTAACATTTTTTTTTAGTATTTGTAATAAATTTTTCCTCGATCAACTTGCGTGTCTTATCTCAAAAAAATATTCTGAAGTTGAAAAATTAGTAGTCGAGCATAAAGTAAAAAATTGTTATAATTTACTCAATCAATATCGACGACAATTTGAATGGATGTCTGCTATTTATAAGCAAATCGAGAATGATTCAAATAAAGTCGTGTTCAATCCCCCAGCAATTGGTCGACAATCAATTCAATTACAGGGTCCATATTTTATACAACCAACTCCATGGGAATTATCAGCACATATGACAGATGCTAGTGATATAATTTGTCTGGGAACACAACCAGTTAATGTTATTGTGATAGCGTTTAATAATGGTCGTGTAGATGTTTGTCTTGAGGTTGATCGAGTGGAAGCCTTATGGAAAATTGATGTATATTATCAATGAATATTATAAACCTTATGTTTTTTTGCCTGATGTGTTTTTGTACAAATTTAATTTTATTTAACTCATCAACTTATCATCAATTTATCATTAATTTATCATCAATTTACAGGGTGCATCGGAAATTGATAATCCAACCTTGATACTATATGAATGTATAGATCTTGGTTTCATAAAAAATTTTGTCGTTCCTACTTCATGGCGAAGCAACCGTATAACAAATTCTATGAACAATCCAAGTCTGGTGCAGGATCCATTTTATGCAGATACATTTTATGTATACCATTTCGCAGGTGTTCATGGCATAGTTCTCAAAGGTTGGTTAGATGATTTGAATAAAATAATGAAAAACATTGAAAATGAAATGGCAATGGATGATTTTTTGAAGAAAAACCTTAAATCTGATGTCAATTGGATTGCTGGAACTTTACCAAGGTTAGCTAATGATGTTTATATGTTAAATTATTTTAATCAATTCTGTATTATATAATTTTTCTCAGTAATATATTTGTAAATTTCAGTGATCCAGATCCTTTTATTGGTTTATCTGTGATGAGCGATGTTCAACTCTCTTATGCTTTGTTAATTATTTCATCTACTCTACAATTGATTTATCATGAATTATCAATTAGAAGAGTAGATAAAATGGATGATCTTTATCGATCTATATTTGAAAATGATATTGAAAATAATATAAGATTCAATTCTGATTTAACTCATCGTTTCCCTGAATCATTGATGAAATACTTGAATTACCAAGGCCTTATGCGTCAGCCAAAACTTGTTTTACCACGTGTCCCACAAAAGATGGGTGGGACTGATGATGTGATTGACACACAATTTCTTCAATCAGTAATGGATATTATACAACAAGAAATATTTGAAATGAAAGAAGCAGTTAAAGCTCTTTGTTCAAGGTCAGCTTAATTAACTGAAAAGTCATATAAAATTGATTATATATTTTATTTTGACAACTTAATTTTTTTAGAGTCGAACATCAAAGTATTGAGTTTAAACGTCAGATTACTGATCTTGCGAGTATTCGTTATCGTTTACATGAATTTTCTGACAAACAATATCCAGAGTTATCTGATCGTATGAGAGATTTGAGAAATAATCAAATAAATCTAGAATGTAAAGCTGATACTATCCTTCAAAAATTAATGTACCAAAATGATCCTATACCGGGTGAATTTGAATTACAATATTATGAGGCTTTAGAAAAGATAAATGATGCCCTCAAAGGTGGAAATGGATTACGTGTTAAAATCAAACAGGTTTGATTAAATCTTATTCGTTTTTCTCTTTGAACTTTTTCTTTTTTATGTCGAATCTTATTTACTTTTTATTACGTTAAATTAATATATAGCTTCAGACGCGTCATAAAACACTTAGTCAAGATTACCAACTTTTATTACCCAGGAGTTCCCTTAGACAATCGAAACAATTCGTTATTTTGAGTGGAAGCCAACTTAATAAAGTTGAAGACGCTCTTAATAAAGAGTGAGTATTTGTATATTCGTTTATAAATCTATGATATGATAAAATATATTCACTCAAAATTTATTAATATTTTAAAGAATGGATCTTATCGATGACACTACACGTAAGATCGAAGAGACACAAGAAAAATTAAAAAGAGTTTGTGAGGCTAGAGTTTAGAACCGAGTTATAGTAAACCGGATCACCCGTGTCAAAACAGTCGACTGGGTCAAAAATTTACAATTCGGTTGAATATGTAACCTCTAAAAATCTGTTACTATTACGCAGAAACATAAATTTTAACACATTATTGTATTGTGAAAATAAATACATTTTTTTTCTTATAAGTGGCCAAAATTTTAATATATGTTGTGTAATTTTGCACAATATAATTGGATAATATTGATGTTAGAATATAAACCAAAATATAAAATTTTTTTATAATTTTGGCCAGAATTATACTAATTCCAAATAATTTTGATCAAAATTAAGGTAGTCAAATTTTAATTTTAATAATAAAGTTGATTAACTTAAAAGAATATAACATTAATTAACTAGAAAAATAAATTTTGTAACTTTGTTTTATTTATAAAAAGAATTTGTTTAAATTATATTGAATTGTCGTATTTAAATATTTTATATGTTGATTTAAGGATGCTTGTACTGTAGTTTATCTAAATATTCAAACTTTTGAAAACTACCATACGACTGTTTATTGCGAAAACTTTGCTTAAAAATTTTTTTTGTATAAGCATTCATTATTATTTTCTTTGATTTGCTAATATATAATATACTGTGTTCGACACGTTCGATAGTACCCAAGTAATTCGCAGTGCATAAATTGCATAATCGTAAAATCAAGGGGACACAGCTTATCAACACAGCAAATGATTAGCACTAACGTCACATCACGGCCAGCATTATAGTTTAGTGTTAGAATATTGCAATTCTTAAAAGTCTAATATATACACCAAGCATCCAATTTGTCACATGCAAAATTTTTAATATGAAATCAAATGAACAACATATTTAAATTTTATATATAAAATTTAAATAAAATTTGCTTTTTAGAATTATTTTAAAATTTTTTTTTTAATATTAAAGGTGAGTACTTGTGATCTAGGTTTTTATTGATAGTATGTTTTAGCATTGTGATTATATCACAACAGTTACAGAGAGTAACTATAGAAAGAATGTACAACTAGTCACTTATACAACTTTAGTTATTGTTTAATTTAAGTAGTTCATTTGAGGTTTTATACTAGTTGCTATACTTAGAATCTACTTGTAAGTTCCTTATTTAAACATTCAGGTTTTCATATTTATTTATCTGTTTACCTTATTAATTGCTTCAGTTTTTATAATATAAATATATCATAATTATTAGGTTTTTTTTTTTTTTTTTGCTTTTGCTAAAGCCAATGTCTATTAGTAATTATCGTCTTTATTGTGTATTTTTAATTATACATTAATTGTATAACTTGTACAAGGTGAGTGTACAACTAGTCACTCATACAACTTTTGGTCATTTATTTAAATAATCTGTCTAAAGCTTTTATTTTTTTTTATTTTTATTTTTTTTAAGATGACCTCTTTGGTCTTTTGACTTTTATTAATCACTTATTGATATTGTGGTTCAATGAACCACTACAGGAAAGTATACAATTGGTTACATGTGTAACTTTTCTATATTACCTATTTAGGAGTTCACCTGAAGGTTTCCTATCAATTGCCATACCTAACACCTCTGCTTGAGTGTTTTACTTTAAATTCTCTGAACCTGTAAACTGTGTTAACATCACTGGTTATCTCAGATATACCAGATTATTGTCCTCAATCATAGGACTAATTTATCCTCAAGGTAAACTCTCTAGAGCCTTCTGTATCCATTTTTATAGTTGATCTAAATATCACTATAGCAGAACCAATACTTGCAGTTAGAGCTAACTATTAAAGCTCTATGCCCTTGTAGAGTTCACTTAGACCCTAGCATCTACTTCACAACATAACCTCTGTACTTTAGTATACCTCTACCTTTTCTCCTGCCCTTTTACCAAACTCCTAATCCAGATAGCCTGTGTAGGACTATGATCAGTCTATCAGTATATCAGGTTGGCCTGATATCCTTTTTCTCCAGTTTGTTCTGGTGGCTTGGTTGGTGATACCTCTAAGACTCTCAACCCAGAGGTTCTTGCTCGTCTGATTACTAGAACTAAGTACTAGATCTTGGTATCTGTTTTTCCAGGCTAGCCTTTACAGTAAGGCTGTCAAAGATCTAGCTACTTCTCTACTTGGGTCTTCTCAAATAAACTTTTTGTTACCCAATTTCAACAGATTTACATAGCTACAAGGACTTATTTAGCATTTGCACTGCCTGATATGTCAGTTTGCATTTCTCTGTATAACTTCAATATTGCACAAATGTTCTATTACCTGCCAGTCATGCTGGTATGACTGCCATTACAGGTATCCTAACCTAATCATTAGTAACAGTTGCTATAATATAAATATTACATAGGTAATTATCCAAATTTTTGTCATCAATGGGATTTGAACACCCATCTACTACTTGGGAGGTTGACAACCTAACCATTTTACTAGGTCATCACACCTCTGTCTGAAGGTTTTATACTAGTTGCTATATCTATAATCTATTAGGAGATTACCTATTTAAACATTCTGATCTTTTATACTTATACTAATCAAATAGTCCTAAGATTCTTATACACCTTGGTGCTGTCTAACCTGATATGTGGCCTCCCTTGTTGTACATCTGTCAGGTCATTACACATTTCAGAGCATATCACCTGACTGTAAAGCCCAAAGTGTCTCTCTGTTAACTAACTTATTTATTTTTTATTATAAAACATTAATAAAGTATACTCTTGCAAAGTTTATCTAAACCCTAATATCAACTTTATAGTATATTTTTAGTACTTATAGTATACCTTTGCTTTGATCTCAGACTTTCAATCCAGATAGTTTAGTAGGACTGTGACCTGTTCTGATATATTAAGTTTAGCCAATATTTTTTTTCTTTAGTCTGATTTCTAGTGGTCTGGTTAGTGGTACTCCTTACTTAGAGATTCTTGTCTGCCTGATTCCTTCACATTAGTATCTGTTTCTTAGATTTAGCTTTTACAGTAATACTGTTAAAGATCTATGCTACCTCTTTACTTAGGTCTTTCCAGATAGGTTTCAGTTTCTTTAGTTCTACAGATTTACATGATTAAAAAACTTATCTTAGGTTTGCACTGCCCAATACTGGTTTGCATCCCTCTGTGTAACTAAAGTTACACAGATGCTTTTGACCTGTCAGTTATGCTAATGTGACCATAGTTATAGGTATTTTATCTCAACTGATTAACAGAATACCATTGCCATAATATGAATATTATATAGATGATTATTCAAATTTCATCATCTGTGAGTTTTGAACTCACAATCTACCACTTGGAAGATTAATAACTTAACCATTTCACTAAGTCACTACATCCCTATTACTAGGTTTTTAAAACAGTTCATTTATATAAAAAACTTTTAATTTTATATTAAACTTATTAAAGTCTTTTATTATCTAATTAATACTTGCAATTAGAGTAATCTTTAAACTGTTATATTTTTGTAAGGTTCATACAATCTTAATACCTCTCTTTATAACCTTACTAATATCTTGTATACTTTTATAAATTTTTTATATTACTAATTTAGTTAGTTTTGCATAATGTAATCTTATACTTACTTTAACTAATAGTCTGATTGGTAAATTTTTTTATTTAAGAGTTTTGGCTATATAGACTACCTGTTTTAGATTTATTTCTTTAGATCAAAATTTTTACAGATGATATTATCAAAGATTATACTAATTTTTATTTAGGATTTTTAAATAAAGTTTCTTATAGATTATATACTTTCTAAATTTATTTATACATATAACATTATATATTTCTAAAATTAGTCTTGATATATTCAGAATTACAAAGTTACAATCTTAGATACCTTAATTAAGTTACAGAATAAGATTATTTTTTAAAATTTTATTACTAATAAAATTTGAACTTTGAATCTATTGTTTAAAAAATAACAATCTAACTATTATACTAGAATTATTATTCTTTTTTATTTAATTTTTTTTTAAGTTTAAGAAGTTATGTTAGTATTTAATTAAGACCTTTGAAATTATATAATTATATAGAACTTCTTAATACTTAAGTCTAATATTTTTTTTTTTTTTAAATATTAAGGTGAGTACTTGTGACCCAGGATTTTATTGATAGTATATTTGGCTAATGGTTGCATT